TTTACCAATATGAAACACACAGGGGTTAACTATGTTAACTAGCCAACACAACTACTTTCCTCTTCTGTTTTTCAATTTGGAACAAAAGGGACTACAAAGAAAATTAACCTTTTAGTGCTCCTAAGAAGGATGTAAAACTAATTCATAAAGAATTAGTAAAGAATGTAAAGAATTCATAGCTGTAAACGGTAAGCCTTGATTATTAGGCAGAATATACACTATAGCATATGTTTATTATAAGGCCTTTTATTGATAAAATATTAGAACTTTTTCCTTGTTTATGCATTTTGTTTTAAGTAACTTTGAGTCACTTCTGATTATAATACTCGATCAAATAATCATGTTCCTAAAACAATAATATACATGTATCTATAATAAAATACATTTACAGAAAGTTTAAATATATTTTCTTTAAAAAAAAAATCTATGTGCTACAGTCAGATTTCTTCCCACACAGTTTCCTAAACTCTAAGTTCAAAGTCACACAAACTATTTGAGAGCTTATTTTAAAAAGATTAGGTAGTCCAAACCCCAGAAACGCATACAATTCTTTTTGAACATTTGCCAGTTTCCTGAGAACCCTCGGTGGCATAATAATAGACAAGGTTTTCTCCATGTGGTCACTGGCCGCCTGAGCCATGCCAGGCAGGCTTCAAGACCAGAATAACTTTGGGGAAAACGTAGAAAATGAACAGATACAAGACAGGGGTCTGGAGCTCCACACCAGCTCAGAGCAGTCCTCCTGTATCCTTTCCTCTCTCCAGGTTGTAGCAGACAGTTCCAGCCTAATCTACAGTCTTCACAAGTCTCAGCAGGGACAGCTGTGTGGTCAGTGGGTGGGTGTGCCAGGCAGATGCAGAGCATAAGCATTCCCTAGGTGCCTCCTCATCTCCTTGTTGACCTGGTTGAAGCCCTGATCTTCTTCCCGTGTCCTGGTTCAAGAGTGGCCCAGCTGGTGGGAATGATGAGCTCTTGCATTCCCTTTGACCAGTCTTCTTTCCACTGGTTCTCAAGTGAGCAACTTCTGTGCCTTCAGTGAGGGAACTACTGCATTTCATTCTGTCATACCCAACCCAGAAGTGGCATTGAGGGACTTGGCTATGGAGAAATGTGTCCTAGGAGGATATAGCTCAGGTCACTTGACGGGCAGCGTCCCCTGTCATATTATCTTCCTTTTTGCCAAGCATGCTTAGCTCCCAGGTCTCAGATTTTCTTTTGCTCTACTTTGTAGAATTGTCCCAGCCTGACCTCAGCATTCACTGGCTATGTGATTTCAAATCACTTCACTGCTCTAAGGCCAGTTGCCTTATTTACATAAGATAACAATCTTTCTTTCTTTACTCCATGGAATATTCCGTGTATAGCACTTAGTATGGTGCTGAGTTTTTGTCTGAACCACCTCTTATTCTTTCCCTTTTTAATTTTTATGATGCCCACATTTGTTCTTTCCAGTGATCACCTGTACATGCTCTTCACGTGATCATGGATATTAGCATCATCCATATTGACTGAAGTCATCACATGAGAACCACTAAGATTTTAACCCTCAGGAGGTAGTGTTAAAGAGTTAATAAATACAGATGGAATGTCAGTGGGTCATCTCTGATAATCACAAGAAGACAACATCCTGTAGTGTGGTGGTTTAGATAAAAATGTCCTGCATAGGCTCATGTATGTGAGTGCTTGGTCCCTAGCTGTTAGCACCATTTAGGGAGGTGAAGACTTACTAAGGAAGGCAGGCTTTGAGGTCCTCAATTCCCATTCTCATTCTCATCCTCATCCTCATCCTCATCCTCATCCTCATCCTCATCCTCTCTCTCTCTCTCTCTCTCTCTCTCTCTCTCTCTCTCTCTCTCTCTCTTTCTCTCTCCTCCTTCCCTCTCTCTCCTCCCTCTCTCCCTCCCTTTCTCCTCTCTCCCCCCTCTCCCCCTCCCTTTCCTGTATGGATAAAAATGTGACCAGTTCCCTGCTCACAGCACCATCAATTCCTGTTGCTGGAGTTATCTCCAGTCCCGCCCAGGCCCGCAGCCACTCAGACCCAAATAAACACACAGACACTTATATTATTTAAACTGTTTGGCCTAATGGCTCAGGCTTCTTGCTATCTAGTTCTTATATCTTAAATTAACTCATTTCTATAAGTCTATACCTTGCCACATGGCTCATGGTTTACCAACACATTACATCATGCTTCTCATGGTGGCAGCTGGCAGCGTCTCCTAACTCAGCCCTCCTGTTCCCAGAATTCTCCTCTCTCTTTGTCCCGCCTATACTTCCTGCCTGGCTACTGGCCAATCAGCATTTTATTTATCAATCAATCAGAGCAACACATTCACAGCATACAGAAAGACCTCCTCAGCAAATTCCTTGAGTGTTAACCTTCTTTATTTGACTTTTCTCACCCTCCTGGACTCTATTCCTCTAAAATCTTAAGTCAAAATAAATCCCTTATCCTCTAACGTCACCTTTGTTTGTGGGATTTTTTTCACAGCATGAAAAAGATAACAAGAAAATATAGCCATTAAAGGAATTTTATAATATGGAAGGGGGAAAAATCTCAATTTCTCTTCATATTGAAAAGAATGCCAGATTTTTTTAGTGCAGGGAGGAAACCATAAACATACTGAAAAGAAATTATGGAAGAATTTTTTTTCACTTTCCAGATAGCAATGGCTTTCTAAAGCCTGTAAGCAAAGTAAATGATAGCTTAAAAGATAAAGTTACTCACTAAAAATAGATAAATGAAATTTAATTTCTGCCCAGAATAAAAAAACTATAAACAAACAAAAAGGAAAATCTCTATCCACACAATAACACCTTTACTCCTTTAAATCAAATTGAAAGGACTAAATAGTTCAGGATACAGAGGATATGAACACTTAGGAATGGGAAGACAGATTACACACACACACACACACACACACACACACACACACACACACACACACACATGAAAAGATGCCCATAATAAATACCCCTTTATCAGATTGATAGAAATCAAAATACCTGGGATAAGGCAGGAACAGTTGATGTAAATAGGAGCCCTAACCATCCTTTTGGAGGGCAGTTTGAAAGTAGCTAGCAAGTTTAAAATGCGTGTATCTTTTTGCTAAAATGCTATTTCTAGGAATTTATCTTGCATGTGTAAGCATGAGGTCAAAGCTATAGGAACAAGGCTACCCAGTGAGGCATTGCCTGCAAAACATTGTTAAGAGTTGGGGCTATTCCAGTAAGGTTTGTTATATGGATGGAACTTAATAGAGCTAGGGAACACTGTAGGAGTTGATAAACACAGCAAAACTGCTTTCACTAATACATAATGATTATCAAGATTAGTCGACGGGTATATTAATAGAAAAGAGACATTACAATACCAATTCCCAACTGCATTTTTAGCATAACTATATATGCTTTTGTGTTTTGTATATGCATATATAGAGTGATACACAAAGATGTTGGTAACAGCTTTTTAGGGTTCCCTAGCATCTGAGTCTGATGAGCAGTGGAAAAGGAAAGCTCTTTTATATATATATCCCCTTTTCACACCTTTCAATTTTATGCTATTTGCATAATGCATTTTTTCATGAATAAGCTTTTCCACTCCACAGTTCTGTCCCACTTCTACAATTCTAGATAGATTAATTCACCCTTCCTCTTTGTAATGAGGATGTGTACTAATTAGTTTGGGTTTTTTGTTGTTGTTTGGTTGTTTGGTTGGTTAGTTGCTTTTTTTTTTTTTTTTTTTGTCAACTTGACACAAATTAGAGTCATTTGAAAAGAAGGAAACTCAGTTGAGAAAATGTTTCTACCAGACTGGCCTGTGGGCAAACCTGGGGGGGCATTTTCCTGATTAAGGATTTATGTGGAAGGCATTGTGGGTGGTGCCACCCCTGGGCAGGTGGTTCCGGGTTGTATAAGAAAGCAGACTGAGCAAGCCATGGGGAACAAGGCAGTGAGTAGTGTTCCTCCGTGGCTACTGCTTCAGTTCCTACCACTAAGGCTCTTCCTTGAGCTCCAGTCCTGACTTCTCCCAGTGATGGAGGGAGACCTGAGCGTTGTAAGATGAAATAGACCCTCTCCTCCCCACGCTGCTTTCGGTCAACAGCAATAGAAACCATGACTAAGACAGGATAGCAACCTGAAAAGAAGGCATTTGCTGTTAGTTAAGTCTTAAGTGGTGGCAGTAGTTTGTGGTGAGTCTTCGCACTCATGATTGTTGGGATGCTTTACAGCAAATGTTCTCAACCTGTGGGTCGCGACCCCTTTGGGGGATCAAATGATCCTTTCCCAGGGATCACATATCAGATATCCTACATATCAGGCATTTACATTACAATTCATGAAAGTAGCAAAATTACAGTTATGAAGCAACAGCAAAAATAATTGTATGTGTGGGAGTCACCACAGCAGGAGGAACTGTATCACAGAGTGGAAGACTTAGAAAGGTCGAGAAGCACTGATTTAGATCATGGTTGCTTATATGATATGCCATTTATAATTTTGCCACTCAGTACTACTTTTTCCTTCTTCCGGCAATCATGGCCAGAGATTTGGGGGGGACTACCGTCTTCCCAATTCTTGAGCCATACTGGCCATTCAACGTGGAACCATGATTTGAGCACACAGTTTTGCATCCCATGTCACAGTGGAATATAAAGCAAGAATTCTATATGACTGTCTTCTACATAGTGACCGTGCTGAGCCCAACTGCACACCCCTTAGCCCAGAGCCGTGTATATGTATACACTGGTCACTGGTTAAGACAAGATTTCACTTCCTATTGAGGTATCAGCTCACATTGTGGTGGCTTGAAAGAAGCATGGCCCCTAGTCTGTGGCGTTATTTAGGAAGGTCTAGGGAGTTTGGCCTAGCTGGAGAAAGTATATCACTGGAGGCAGGCTTTGAGAGTGTAGAGCAGTGGTTCTCAACCTTCCTAATGCCGTGACCCTTTAATACAGTTTCTCATGTTGAGGTGACCCCCCCCACCATAAAATTATTTTCATTGCTATTTTATAGCTATAATTTTGCTATTGCTGTGAATTGTAATGTAAATATCTGTGTTTTCCAATGGTCTTAGGCAACCCCTGTGAAAGGTCATTTGACCCCCAAAGGGATCATAACTAACAGGTTGAGAACCCCCTGTTTATAACCTCACCCCACTTCCAGTTAGCTGTCTGTGCTTCATGATTGTGGTTGAGGATGTGAACTCTCAGCTTCCTACTGCGGTCACAGTGCCTGCTGATGGCCACTATGCTTTCCTTCCATAATGGACTCATCTCTCTGGAAACATAAGCCACAGTCACTCCTTAGTCTATAAGTTGCTTTTGGTCATGGTTTTTTTTTATCAGAGCAATGGGAAAGCAAGTAATACATACTGAGAGTAGATTTGTACTAATATCATAAATGCCATCTTTAAATCTAAGTGGCATGTGATGTGATTCAGTGCTAGAGTATTTGTCTAGCTGATCTAAGGCTTGGGGCTTAATCCCAGCACACACACCACACACATGCACACACACACACACACACACACACACACACACACACACACACACACACACACACAAATAAGTCATTCCATTCTTCATAAGATGCTTCCACAGCATAAGGCATGTGGTAACATCTATAACCTACAGATTTGATTTTCACAGGAATTTCTTTTACTTTACAGCATATTTCTTCACTGCTTTTAGAAAACCTTGCAGCGTCTTGAAGGGTAAATCATCTTCTTTCCAGCTGTGGCTCTGGAAACGTGATACTCTGGCATCTGGGGAGATATTTTTGCTTACGAGTTTGGAAGAGCCCTGTGTGGGATAAAATGGAGGGAAATCAGCATCAGCACTAGATCAACAAAGATCACTAAGGAAAGGTGAATCTTATCCCACGGAGTGGGAAAGGCTGCATCTGCCGACATCCCACCTACACTGTGACTCAGAAAGTCACGTGATCAGACTCTGCATTTTTGTTAAATGGGCTCACTGCGTCCTCAGACTGTGACATGGCACTCTCTCTCACCCCATCTGTATTTTCCATGGGCATCCCATTCCAGGTAAATGCTAGTAATGGCTTAAATGCTTCACCACCAGCTGGCAATGATTACCGTTACCCCATTGTTTTAAGTAGATCTTCAGCTTCTCTCCAAACTTTGCTGTCAATGTGGATTCAATTACAGATAGCAGAAAATGAAGTCTTTTAAACAGAAAATGACTTAAATCAAAGAATAAGATTCTTCTAAGAGGCACTGAAGACATGCAGGCCTAGAGTCTAGCTTATACCCCAGAATCATTATAGAGAGATTCTGTAATGTTGGTCCACAGAAGAAGTTGCTATTTTGACCACAGTTAGGCAGGTGTGGAATCTGAAAGCTGTTCTTAGGACTGTTGACCTTGTTCTGTGTGTTTAACTGCAGCCCAAGTCATGGAAGATGCATCCTTGAGCTCCAGAGGCAATCTGCAACTGGCTTTTCTCTACTCTTTAGGTGGACCAAACTACCAAATATCTCCCTAGATCACTCCTACATTGGAAACTCCAGCTCCTCCAGTGTATCAGCAAAGTCAGCAGAAATCGACGGGCAGCCTCTGTCTTACTTCATTTGTGAATCGTGTGTGTTTGATATAATTACAGTGCCCAGTTCTTGAACTTTTAGTGTCAGGCAAGTCCAAGAGGAATAGATTGTAGCATTCCCTTCTTGCCTGTGGTTCAGGAATGTATGCATGGGTGCCACATCAGCCCTAAAGTTTTAGTACAAAATTCAAACAAGCTTGAAACAAGTGATCTCATTTATCCTTGGATTTGTAATATATGTGGTTTTTTGGAAACTGCCTGTTTACAAAATTTGGGCCTGATTTTAAATGCTGTAGATGTAACAAATATCTGCTTGACTAATTTTTTTTAATTAGATTTGTTTGCATGATATTTTACTTTATGTTAGCTGGAAAAGAAGGCATTCTGGTTTGGTACAATGATTCTCCAAAATAAGAAATACTAAAGTGTTTTAATATGTGCAAGAAGAAAAGAGAGAAATGAGACTCCAGACATATATGACTTATTCACAAATAGACCAATATCAGTGCAAATGTCAGATCATATCTGTACAGCTTCCTGTGACAGCTGGTGAATATTCAGATGAGGAAAGGCACACTTTTAAATTACTTTTGCTGATGTTTTGAGTTAAAAAAGAAAAAAAAAAAGAATATTGAATTGTAGCTAGAGTTTTCCTGCCTTGCCCACAGTCAGGACAAATCTCTGTCACTCGCCAGTCCCACAGCCGCTCAGACCCAACCAAGTAAACACAGATACTTATATTGCATACAAACTGTATGGCCGTGGCAGGCTTCTTGCCAACTGTTCTTATAGCTTAAATTAATCCATTTCCATAACTCTATACCTTGTCACATGGCTCGTGGCTTACTGGCATCTTCACATGCTGCTTGTCCTTGGCAGTGACTCCCTCCACCTTCCTGTTTTCTCTGTTCTCCTCTCTGTTAGTCCCGCCTATACTTCCTGCCTGGCCACTGGCCAATCAGTGTTTTATTTATTGACCAATCAGAGCAATTTGACATACAGACCACCCCACAGCATTGAATGGATTGTAAACAGGAGAGGAGAAACTAAATCTTTTGTGATCAAGCTTAAAATCTAATGAACATACAGTATAAAAATTTAGTTAAAGATTCTTCTTAAAAATGTCTCCTTTTTCCATTTGGGCATATACACACTAACATTTTAGAGATAAAACAAATCATTCAAAAAATTTGAATGAACCTTTTCAGGTGTAGAAAATGGTTTAGTGATTAAGAGAGCCTACTTCTTTACAGAGTGCCAGAAATTAATTGTTTTGGTTCCTAGCACTCTCACATGTCTACTCACAAACACCTGTAACTTCAGCCCCAAGGGATCAACAGCCTCTTCTGGCCTCCTTCAGTACTTGTACACATATCACACACACACACACACACACACACACACACACTAATGATAATAGGAATACACCTAAAATGAACTCTAGCATTTAGAATACCACCCCTCCCCCACCCCCCAGAACTGATTGGTTTATATCCATATTCCACATGTCTATGTACAGTGACATCTTAGAAAACACAGCAAGGAAATCAGTTTCAACTCAAATACCATGAAAGAGGAGTTTTGAAGCCCAACTCTTAATACTGTGGCTCAGAACTGTGCCTGTCCACGTTGCTTAGTTGAGCCCTGGTCCTGTAACCCTCTAGTCTCTAAACTTACCCCCATTCCTCACAGCTTTGTGGTTGTTTCCAGAAGTGTATTTTCAAGTAACTAACTCTCTTACAAACTCCTTAACATGTTCTGAGTGTGATCCTTGCATGTTAATCCTAAGATCATATTTTAGTAAGTGTTGTCACTATGATTAAAACGGGAAAAATGAAGCTAGAAAAAATAGTTAAAAGAAAAAAGAGTACAAACACCAAACACGAAGGGAATTCAGTGTTCAATTTAAACCAAACACACCCTGTGTGTTTTGGATCTGCCAAGCAGATCTATCAATAAATCTCTTGCAGCATATGGAGCTAAACTATCACAAGTTTTCCAACAGACTAGTGCCTCCACCCTGATAATCATTCCAGAACTATAGCTATTGAGTCAAAGCCTTGGCCATTCTAAGGAAATTCCACAAGTAACAATTACCGTTCTTGGAAAAAAAAAAAAACCTGGCTATACTAAGTTGAAGCTTAGGGTTCTTTTTACTGTTGACTTAAAAATACATTTCTAATATACGTTTTGGGTTTATTGCTCCCTGAGACAGTGTGTGATTAAATATAAACTGAAGAAAGAGCTAAAATAAGTAAGTAAGGAAAGTGATAACCATATTACAGATCAATATACTATGGAACTGTAATTTAAATGTGAGTGGGTGGCCATACCCACCTGAACTATTCTCAAATAGTAAAACTATTTGGAGCCTTGACAGGTCTCCTGGTAGGGGAAAGTGCCTGAAGACACATAGTGTACCTTGAATACAAGCCACAGGACTTAGTATTTTTTGCATACTTTTCTCATTCTTCATCTCTTTATAATAGCTAACACAGTCCTTAGGAATGATCCTTCCACAATGCCTTTATGTCTCATCCTCTCGCATCTAGACCTCTCTTCTTTTTAAGACCCACCGTTTGTGGGCTATCAAGACGGAGTAGCAACTAAGAGTACAAACGCTCTTGTAGAAGACCTGAGCTCGGTTCCCATCACCCACATTTTGTGCCTCACAGCAACCAATAATTACAGTTCCCAGGGATCTGTCACACTCTTCTAGACTCTGCAGGAACTTCCACACATGGACATACATGCACACAGACACGTACATACACATAATTGTAGAAATAAATCTTTTTAAAGGGAGATCTTACTAGCCACTCTAGTAGCTCATAGTGACTTTCCTTCTTGCATGCAGCTCTTTGTCAAGTGTATTCTACCCTATGCTTTGATTTTTACAAAAGTATTATCCCATCTTTCAAAGTCTACATGGAAAATCCAGCCAGAAAGAACTCTTCATGGAAGGAAACAGAGGTAAGAAATATTATGGATGTTTGAAAATTAATACTACTCCTTCCGCTACCCTTTGTCCCCACTAGACTTTTGTATACTTTTACTAGGAATACGACATATGTCTTTGTACAACCTACATGCACTCACCCCTCTCCCTCCCCTCCTCCCCTTCTTCTCCTCCTCCCTCTCCTCCTCTTCCTCCCCCTCCTCCCTCTCCTCCTCCTCCCCTCCCCCTCCTATTTCCTGCTCTCCCTCCTCCCCTTCCTCCTCCTTCTTTTCCTCCTCCCACTCCACCTTTTTTTCTTCTTTTTCTTCTTCTTCTTTGCCTTTTCTTCTTCACCTCTGTCAGGCAGGTTTCTTACCATTTACCTGGAAAGTACACTATGCTTATAGCTGTCTTGTTTTCTCCTAGACCAGCAGGAAAGAAAGAAACCAGCATGAGAATTTTAATCCCACCCACCCAGATTCTTATTTCTATAGCAAGGAAGCAGAAATAATTCTCAGAGCTCTTCCTATTACATGGGGGAAGGGGATAACCACTAGTTAACTTTTCTATAGCCGCTAGGCCTGGAAAGTATGGTACAATTCAACGCACTAAAGTTTGAGGGACTCGGTAGCAGCTCACAGAAAATATCCACCCATCCCAGGTACGGCAAATGCAGGGGCTGAGCACTAAAAAGATGGTACCGGAGTTCAGTAGGGAGTAGGGTTGCGCAGATCTGAGGCGTGGATTCCATCCAGTTGCTCCTGAAGAACAGTTACTGGTCTTTTTGTCCATTGCAGCCTCCCTCACTATTACTACAGGACACTAGATAGGCTTAATGACAGTAATACAGTGGAAGCCAGCCTACTGTTTTCTTGGGTTTCAGACTGTTGCAGAATTCTTCAGGGTCAATCCCTCCCTGATTCCGGCAATTCTGAGGCTGAGTCACACTCTGTTGCCCCCTGGAGGATGACTCATTTGGGTAGTTTTTTTAGAAATACTAAGCTGTGTTAGAAAATAGACAAACGAGCCCCAGTGAGCCCACGTCTGTCTTGCCACATATTCACTCTGAAGGACTGAGGAACTGCCCCGTGGAAAGGAAAGAGTCGTATGTCTTTTGTTCCACTAGACCTACAGAGAACATTTTTCTGTCTGCAAGTCATTCACTAACCACACCTAGAACAGCATTTCTTGGACACCTTCCTCTTGAGGCACCTACCACACAGATCGATCTCCGAGTGGCAAGAATCCTGAATCAGAAAAAAAAAATCCCAAACTGTTTTGATTTCAAGTTTTCCACTGAGAGCTACGTTCCAAAGACATTTAAGCTTTTCAATGGGAACAAAATACTACCATGCTGGAACATAAAGTACACTGTCCTTTCTCTTATGAGTTGTAACTGTAAATCATGGGGAAAATCAAAGATGTAGCAGCCTTGTGGATGGGTTAAAAATCAAGCACATCACTCAACATCATCAGTAACATTTTCAGAGTTTTTTGAAGGGCAGCCTCACACCATATCATGTAAATCAAGGCCTTCATGAAAGACACTCTGTTCTTAAAAAGGATGTTTTGTTTTAGTGTGTCTCTATAATACTTCATTGACTCTGAGTATTGTTCCCCAAGGCATTGCCTTTTGTGTTGGGCCATTTTCCCTTGAAAACTATTGTAGTAATAATCTTGAAGGTATGGTGATATTTAGTTCTGCACATTATTATACTTTTGGCTCCCAAATCTCAAAAAGCAGTCCCTAGCAGGGAACTCAAATATAACTTTAAGGCTCAGATGAGACAAGTGGGATGTACATTCAGTAAGCAATTGCCAGTCATCCCAGAGGTGATTTATTAACAGAGATGATTCACTCGCCAAGGATAATGTCAATATAGAGAGCACATACTTAGCACACAGCTACTCCTCTTTAAAAACAAACTGTGTCTAGGTCTTATCGTTGGTATCAGCTTCTAGTTAATGCGAAACAGACATTGAATATTTAGAAGAGACCTCTGTTTTCTTACAGTGTTATGGCCTAGCTTCTCAGAAACTAACCTAAAGTATCACGTGGAAAAACTTATCTTTCTTGAGGAAAGATGATAATATAATATATACATACATATTAACAGTATTTTTTTAGAGATTTATTCTTTTTATTTTATGTGTATGGGTATTTTCCCTGCATTTGTGTCTGTGCACTATATGCATGCAGTACCAGTAGAGGAGAGAAGAGGGTGTCAGATCCCCTGCAACTGGAGTTAAAGACAGTTCTTAGCTACCATGTAGGTCTGGGAATTGAACCCCAGTCTTCTGGAAGAGCAACTGATGCTCTTAACCACTGAGAGATCTCTCCAGCCCCCTAAAGTAGTATTTTATTTGATAATCCCTTAGTATTTCTAGAATATATTATTTATTTTTTGTAATCATCAACTTGGTAGTGTCAACTTTGATAATATTCACTGCTAATCAAGAAATGAGTAGATTGCGCCAATATCTCTCTCATTATTCACTTCTTTGATTATTGATACAGAGCAATAGTAAAAATACATGAATTGACTTTTAAAATGTATTTTAGATTTATTTATTTTGTGTGTATGAATGTTTTGCCTGCATGTATGTTTGTGCACCATATGTATGCCTGGTGTTGGTAAAAGTCAGAAGACGGCCTCAGATCCCCTAGGACTAGAGTTACGGATGGTTGTGAGCCACCATATGGGTGCTGGGAATTGACCCAGGTCCCCTGCAAGGGCTGAGCCATCTATCCAGGATCAGTAATTGACTTTCCGTTTGTTCTTTGTTTCTCCAGCTAGTGATTGGAGTTTCTTTCACTTTTTTTTTTGAAATGCTTTGATGAGCACACACTGGAAAAAAAATGCATATTCAGTTGAGGAGACAATTGTCAACGTAAACAAAGTCTAAGGCAGTCACTTGTCGATTTCCTCTGTGATTTGCTTGAAAGATCAATAAATAACCACTCAGCATTTTACAAATAAAATATTTTTTAAAAAATAAAATATTTATTTTACAAATAAAAATGTCACCATGTGGACTGCAGCTGGAGTTGTTCTTAGCATGGCTCTGCTACCTTGCATAATGGGCCCCAGAATTTTTTAAAAATATTTTTATTTTATAATTATTTTAATTTTACATATCAGCCATGAATTCCCCTGTCCTCCCTCCTCCCACCCCC